CAATCAATCAATCAATCAATCAATCAATCAATCAATCATTAAAAAAAACAATCAATAAATGAATATTTATTTTTTTTCTATTTTTTTATTTTTTTTTGCTACCTATCAAAATCAACCCCCCCAAATTTTTTTATTTTTTTATTTTTTTTAATGCAGGCCGGTAGCGGCCGACGTGCGCAGGCCGAGCGCGCGCGCCGATTTTGAGCGTGCGCCCCCGCCTGGGCGTGGCGCGGCCGAGTGCAAACTCGGCCGTGCGGCCTCGGCTGCGGGCCTGCGGCCTAGGAGGTCGGTCACGGACTGCGATCCTGCGGCCGCGGCCGAGGGTGCCACGTAGGCGCTACCTCTTTTTGGATGTGACGAGGATGATCGATTACAATTGGAGAAGTTCGTTATCCGGCGGACTAACCCCTTTCTAAACAGTCGTGACAAGGTGCGGAAAACATGTAAGTGTAGACCTGGCAAGCGGGAGCGTGATAAGAGGAGAAGGCGGGCAGATGGACGGGTTGGGATCAAAGAGAAAGGGAGTTTGAACAATTATATGCACTTGCGGTTTAAAACTGAGGATGGTGTGAGCTCTGCCAGTCTTTTGAAGTTACTAATGGAGGCACGTAAGAATGGAAGGAGGAATTTGACCGTAACTTGTGAAGGAGGCAATCAGCTCCTGGATCAGTGGAAGGTGCTGCGACAATGCTTTGGGGGGTCTATCGTTAGAACGAGCTACGGTTGTGCCACCTTGAAAAACAGTCGCGGGTGGCTGGCACATGGAACCACCCTATTCTTTGAGTTCATCTCCTATTTTTGTTCCTCGTCGCTCTACCTGAAACCTACCCTTCTCAGTTTCCTGAAAGAACCCGTGACCAGAGTGTGTCTGTTGGCCTGGAATTTTGATAAAGTTGGTACGACTGTATGCTGCTATCCGTAGTTTTCAGGATAAAAGATCTAGGTACACTCTTCGTTGTGTGTTGTCGGGTGTTTTCAAGAAAAGATTTGGGTTTAATGTTCGAACCCGTTTGGTGATTCGTATCACGTATGATGTGTGTCTTAAGAAGTCGACCATCAGAAAGTCTTGTTTCCAATTGCTTGGTAAGCTACACATGTTGGCGCGTTCAAGGGAAATGGTGGCGAGGCGGATGCGCATGGTTTGGGTAAAAAACCGAAGTGTTGGTGACTTGCTTTTCAATTTCAGGACAGTAGCCAAACAGACGGATCATCCTTGTTCCTGTACTGATGTGGATGGTGTGTTCCCATGGTTAAATGGACATGTATGTTTTCGATTATCGACACGTAACATTCCTTGTCCTGACCGAAAAACCACCAGGCGTGGGCTGATTAGACAGATTATTTCCTCCTTTGAACAGAACCCGTCGCTACCGGCCTTGGAGGCTGGGATAATTGAGAAAGGATTGATTGATTGTTGCTTTAATAATACTGTAGAGGGCTGCAGTAACGGTGCTCTGAGTGTGGACGATGTGCTCAAATGAAAACAGAGATTCGGTGGTCTGGTTTGCTGCCCTATCGATCATAACGCAGGCGATTATTTGATATGTTGCCCAACTGCTTATAGGGCTAGTATGGATAAGTTGTTCCTTGATAATCCTGGTTTTATCTATTGTCAGAAGGAGGAGGATGTACTAAGCGATTGTGTTGTTAAGTATAAAGACGGTGGTTTTGAAAAGATAGGGAAATGGAACAGTAAGGGTAGGCTGGGAAAGGCCTACTCAGTACCGAAGCATAAGGATATCTGCAAATGGCGGCCGATATGTCCTTCGTACTCTGAATCTGCAGTCACTGCTAGTAAAAAAATCGCTCGGGTTATCAACCAATTGCTGTGGGATTTACCTAGTGAGAACAACTTCAACTTAAGGAGTATGGCAGACCTGGCAGCATCAATACGGGAGGCAAATGCGGACTTGAAGAAGGGAGAAAGCTTTGTGAGTGCGGCTTTTGACATCAAAGAGATGTTTTGCAACTTACCACATCAGTCCGTTCTGGAAGAAGTAAGGTGGGTCGTTGACTTCTGGATGATTAGGGGATGCACTGGGGTATTGTTAAAAGCTTATGGTAAGGGGGCTAAGTTTCAGTTTGGGGAGCCGCATGAGGGTTGGAATGTTGTCGCCTTGTCGGATGTCGTTGACTTTGTGTAATTTGACCTGGGTTGCACCTTTTTCATGGCTTGTGGTCAGGTCCTCCAACAGAGGGTGGGTAATATCCCGATGGGTAAGGCATCCAGCCCTGCCCTTGCCTGTTTGCTATGTGCCTATAATGAGTTCCTGTTCGTTTCTTCTCTTGGTTGTGATCGCCACTTGGTCTATGGCATTCAGATGGTTGATGATGTATCCATCCTGATCTGTGTAAAATGGCAGATTTAGGATCCATGGCCCTTGCGGACTCCATTCTCGAGAAATTTCGCAGCTGTTATGATGACAATCTTGTATTGGAACAAACAAACAGTGGTGAATGTTGGGATTTCCTAGGCTGTGTGGTAAAGGTGTCCGATTGGCCATGGGGGGTACAATGTGTGGCGCTACATAAAAACCAGCGATGCCTTCGGGACAAGGGCCTTGTGTTCCAGAACCTACAGAAACTCTTTCTCGAGCAAGCAGCATAAGATGGCAGTTGTTCTTTCCTGCATGCATAGAGTCAAGGCTTATACTACCACGGTAGGGCTGGAGGTGGCTTTTCTGCTGACTTTGAAGATTGAACTGCGATTGAGGGGGTTTCCCGACAGTTATTTTGACAATGCACTTTGCAGTTTCTCAAGTAAGTTCGGCGGCATTTGGGCCGATTGGGTTGAACTTCTGACAGGATGGGGGCACTTGTTTGTAGGCAGGAAGAGGAGAGGCCCTGTGGGAAGATTGCGTTTAAGGTCCTTCACAGGGCCCCGTTTGCAGATTGGGTCGAACTCCTGACAGGAACTCATCTTCTTTTTCTTTGGTGCCTGGTTTGTTTCGTTTTTTGTCTTTTGTTTTTTTTGTTTTTTGTTTTTTGTTTTTTGTTTTTTGTTTTTTGTTTTTTGTTTTTTGTTTTTTGTTCCCCCTTTTTTCTTGGAACGCTTTTTCTTGGAATGCCTTTCTGGGTCTTAACTACGTGGTGGCTAGACGATGTTTCTGATGGCTGTTGGTAAAATAGGGTTCTCTATCTTTGCCTATGCTCGGTCTAGTTCTGTTCGCTGGTCTTGGT